TAGGAGAGAAGTTACGGACCTTTTTTTCCTACTGTGCTTAACCATTGCGGTGCGCCCCCTGCCCATACTTTGCGCTTGTGAACCCCTCGTGACACAACCCCAATGTGGTTCGATGGCGCAGCAGGTGGGAGAGCGGGCCCATAGCGGTGGGACGAAGGCTCGAACCCTTTCTGCATTTCGTAGTTTTGCTTTTTCTTGAAACGTATGCTAAACATTTGAAAAGTATGTAGTTTTACGCACCAGTTCGAATTTCAGAGTGCTCACTCTGCTATTTATTGAGCCTTGTGAAGGGATTTTGGGGATATTTCATTTCGACTTCAGTGGGTGCATTGAAATTGATGGCGTTGAAGTGGCAGCCTTATTTGGGGCATATATTGCTGTAACTACATAGTGCGGAACATTAAGCGAGCACATGAGATATCTTGATACAAAATGGCGTGTTGACACGTAGGAAGAACTTATAAAAGCTCTGAGGTGAATCGCTCTGCTCTCACTTTCTTTCACTAGTTCTCTCGCACTATTTATCTTCCACTGCCCCAATCATCCGAAATCTGGCTAGTTGCTGACCAACGTTTTCCTATGTTGGCAGAATTGAATAAAAATTCGTCTATCGAGGTGAACCTCCCGAAGATGAATACCACATCCGTTCGGCACGAAACCTCCTGGGATCCCGGTCACACGCGTCGGCGCCAAAATACCCCAATGTACCGGCTCCTCTGGCGCGGGTGTCAGGGGGTTTCGAGCCATGCGGATAGGAAATTCATATTCAGGAAGTAAGAGTACCCAGAATACAACATTTGAGACAAGTCTGTCGAAGGAGAAAAAAGTCGGTCAAAAATTGGCTCGATCCCTTGGTTGGGGCAGTGAAGGGTAAATAATCCCGTTCCCTCTTCCGCAAGTGGTATACGGTAGCAATAAGCGCAACCTGCTCTTCATGCACGAAAATGTGCGACTCTTCCTTGTACTTGATCGGTAGCACGCTATGGCTTCATTCACCTAAACCACACGCATACTATGCTATGGACTTGTACAAAAGTGAAGCCTTAAGCAAGGAGAACCTTCAAAATACCTCCTCTAGTAGAACCTCCACATCTCGGAAGTGATTGAAGCTCCTCTCCAGTCTGGAGACTTTCATCATGCCATTATCAGGTGACCAGAGGAGATCAGTGTGGTCGTTTCCACGAAGCTATCTTCCTCGCAGTTGATCATGAGTTGTCGCACAACGCGTGGCGCGAAATAGACCAGAACCTCTCTTCTGCAGTTTTCCTTTCTTTTCGGGGTAGTGACCGCACAACATCATAGGATCAGAATTCTTCCTTTAGATGTGATAGCAACAAAGGGGCAAAGCATATCCCCAGTTATCGGACGTAGGATTGCAAGAGCTGTTGGCTGATATTGTGAGTGTGGCGTGAAGAGAACTACTACATATGGCGAAGTCCTGTGTTATACAAACATCAAATGCTGTATTCTACAAAGAGGTAAAACTTTCGGTTCAAGTGCTTGGAGCAGATATGAAAATTTATCTGACCCCAGCGTGCGCGAGTTAGGTTAGAGTGCAATCCTTTTCGTAAGTCATCCAAAGGAATGAATAAGGATCAGAGAGAGCTCTCTGACGTTTGAACTGGTGCGTAAAATAGTACTTTTCAAGTGTTTATTATACGTTCCAGAAAAAAAACAAAACCACGAAATGCACCAACCTTCCTCTCCCCTATGAGCCGGTCACCTAATACCTGCTGGCCATCGAACCCCATTGGGTTGTGTCACGAGGGGTTTACAAGCGCAAATTATGCTTAAGCACAGTAGGAAAAAAGTTTCGTAATTTCTCTCTTAGAATCTTTCAGCAGATTTAAAAGTCCGATCTGATATCAGGCCGAAGAGCTGCTATGAGTATAGATCCTATCCTGAATGGCAATGGCGAGTTGGTATCCTTCCATTGTTAGCCTTTGCAGGCTGAGCCCGCTTTCAAGAATAATGGTTTATGGAGCTCATGTAGTGCGTGATCCAGTAGTGAAGAAAAAAGCAGAAAAAAAATCAAATGCCCTATATAGCCTATGCTGGCCAGGTGGGCGGGCGGCCGACTCTTCACTAGCGAACGGCGCTATCCTCTCGCCTTTTTGAGATGCAAAACTAGTACATACTGCATCCTCATAGGGAGGGCTATGATATCCAGAGAGGGCGCGGGAACATCAAATGAACGTGGGCGCTGCCTTTAATGGTCGTAGTGCCCTCATCACTCATCTTATTGTTAGAGCCGAGAAAAATGGGAATTCTACAGATGGCCAACCGGACTCACTGTACGAGTTGGCGAACACTGTCTTTGTCTGTGCGATACCTGATTTTTGTTAATATTGACGTTTCAATTTAGTAGTTCACTTGAGCCGACCAAGATTGTTAACATTTATTAGGCCAACGTTTCGGCTTGTTCGCCTTCGTCAGAGCCTGAAAGAGTCAAAAACAGATGTGACTTGTTCTCTCAAACGCCTTAACTGAAACTGAAGACCATTTCGAGATACCGGTAAAACACCTAACAGTATCGGTCAGTAAAGATGACTTGGCTTACCTTGATCGCGGTGACGCGAGATGGACCACCCTGGCTGTACTGATGCAACAAGTGAGACCTGCCCCTTCGACCTCAACCTCGACCTCACGTAGATCAAAATCCACAGAGGTCGGAAAGGGCGCGAGCTCACGGGTAATGGCCACACACTCCTCTTTCCTGTTAATTGGATTTGTTAATTTGAGATTTAGATTTGTTAATTTGGGTGCGCTAGGAGAGACACGGTTACCTGGCTCTAGCAGTGGCGATCGGGTAGAGTTCGATTTAGAAAGGAGGAAACCAGTGATGGAAACGCGATAATAGCGGTGATATTAAGTGCACGTGCAGTTAGGCTGCGTTTATACTTTGCGGCAGCGTAGCGTAGCGCAGCGTAGCGTAGCGCTTCCAGCGTACGCCAGCGGCAGTGTCGGGGAAAGGATAGATATCGATCTAGCGTTCCCAGCGTCACGCTGGCGTAGCGAGGGCACGGGAAGCATAGCTATCGATCTTCACCAGCGTTTCTCCAGCGTTTTCCCAGCGCTTGCAGCGACGGGGCTAGAGAGGGGCTAGAGAGTATTGAAGAGGAGAGTACAAAATACTCTCCTACCTTCAATACTCTCTAGCCCCTCTCTAGCCCCGTCGCTGCAAGCGCTGGGAAAACGCTGGAGAAACGCTGGTGAAGCTAGATCGATAGCTATGCTTCCCGTGCCCTCGCTACGCTACGCTAGCGTACGCTGGTGACGCTGGGAACGCTAGATCGATATCTATCCTTTCCCCGACAGGCTCCGTGTACAAACTCACCCGTGCGCGTATGCGGCGCGGTTTCTTCACGGCGCCGCGGCGGCAGGGCGGAGCGAAAGGCGCCCGCGTCTCCGGCGCTGTGCTCCAATCCAGCAGCCTCTTTTATGTGGAAGGAAGAGGAGGGAAAAGTAGAGAGGAAGGGAATTGAACAGATAGTGGTGCATATGTGAGTTAGTGGTAGTGGTAGGAGATCACAGAAAAGTCGACTATCACGAATTACTTCAGTGAATGGCAGAACTGGCGGCATAGTTCCCTTCGATTGTGAAAACGACGCAAGCAGCTTTTACACGAAAGTTCAAGCTGAGGTTTGGCAAATTGCCAACAGTTGGTTGTGACCTCACGTCCCATTCGAAGGGAATCATTCTGCCAGTTCCGCTGTTGACTGAAATAATACGCTCTGATTCTCGACTTTTCTGTATTCTCTGCTCACCATTACCACACTAACTCACCTACAAGCGTTCTATTTGTTCAGTCCTCTTTTCTCTCCTCCTCCTTCCACATAATGGGGCATAAAAGGGGCTTCTGATTGAAGCACAGTGGCGGAGGCGCAAGCGATCACCCTTCGCCCGCCTGCCGCCGCGGCGCCGTGAAGAAACCGCGCCGCATACGCGCATGGGTGAGTTTTTCCCTCCTCCCTCCCCGGCACTGCCGCTGGCGTACGCTGGAAGCGCTACGCTACGCTGCCGCAAAGTATAAACGCAGCCTTATGGTTGCGGAGAACCGAAGGGATTTCGACAAAAAATGGCTTTTGAATGCAACCAACTACTAATTGCCAAACTTTGCTGTGGAACTGCAGTCAGATGTTCTTCAACTTATGGCTAGGAACTGTCCTTTGGTTTCGAGGATGGCTGGTTCTTCTCTCCAAAATCCGAGATTGCCATTCTTAATGCAGTGATTGTTCTCAAACGAAACCGGCCAGGTATGTAAGAGGTCAGATCTATAGATAACACCACAAGAGTAAAACCCATCACCACCACATATGTAGGAGGGGTATGCAGCAGAGAATCGTTATCGCCGCGCCAGTGGGCGTCGCGTGCGACGTCGCGCCTGCTAATGACGACGATTTTAGGTGGTATTGGTCGAGAATAGACAATGTATGACCAAAAATAGACATAAGTGTCTACCATGTCCTTGTCTACATGAAATCCGATGCTCCAATCGAAAGGGTAGTGCAAATTGAGGAAACGTCGCGCCCACTGCCGCGCGCGACGAAGCGGCAATTTGCGATTCTCTTGCCCATCTCCCATTAGGAGACATGTAATGAAGTTATCTCCTCAATTGATCAACTGCAAGGTCCAGTCCGGAACAATATTTAGCTTCGCGTACTGTGTTCTCGAAACAATTAGCTCATTGATGTGAGATGAAGCTGTGAGATGAATGTAAAGATTTATTCTAGAAACAAAAGAATTACGAAAACTTGGGTTCTATATGGTGAGCACGTTTTACTCGTATATGGGACCAGATAAGAACCTGTCAGTTAAACAGAGTTGACATAGGTATATTATGGGAAGCACATAAGATTATAGCGGAATAAATAGCGGAAACTTTCAAAATACTATTATAGTTTCGCTGCTTCGTCCTCAAAGATGAGATCTGCTCCACAGCGAAGATCAATAGGCACATTATGCTTGCAACTATCATTCAAAGGTTTTTAGGATACTTTCTACATTAAAGCGGCACAGATTTCTGCATCATTCCGTCGAAACCTCCGCACTGAACTCGTCCATTCGTGACGTACATGAGAGATGAAGCCTCGGTTGAGGAAGCCGTATAGCACCGGATTTGCTATGATGCTGATCATTGCGGTACTGTAAATGTTCAGTAATCAGTTCTTCGAAGAAAAGCCTTACTAAACAGTCATTTAAAAAGCGTGTTAGAAGGCATTATCTAGCATTGGTCACCCCTTGCCACCTCGATCTTTTGAATTTATGCCAAATTTCGAGCGAAGTTTTTCCCCGAGGGCACATGAAAGCTCGTAAAGGGGAGACGTCTGCCTTCAAGAACTCCTTTGTCCTTGATCGCGAAACCGCGCTACGCCTATTACCGTTGACGTTACAGGACTGGGTTGTCCTAACACTGCACTGCAAGTGCGACAAAGTCCCTGCGGGTTCGGTGATTTGAGGTTTCCGGAAATGGCACTCATGTGCACCGCAGGTTTTCGTATTAGGGGGGTAAGATATTCAGAAGAATAGACCTCCTCGAGAACGGATTTTGAGTCAAATTTGCTTCCGAAGGCAAATTTCGATAAAAATCCAGCCTAAGTTCAAAGATTGGAAGAATTGCTTAATAGAGCCGTTTACATATTTTATAGAGAACTTCAACGCCATACTTCTCAGAACTAGAAAACGTTAATGAAACATAGCCTTTGTAGGAACAACGGTAATTGAAGGGATTATTGGAGGGAAGGGATTAAACTTGCACAGTATTGGGTTCGTTGTCCCACTCCCCTCCACACCCCCTTCCAACACCGAATTTTTGACTTTCTGTACCCCGATTGATTTAGAGAGCAAACTTGCCGCTATTAATAGTTGTTAGTAAGTGTCCTAAAGAAACTGGTGACATACCTGTGAGACATGAGGCTTGCAAGATAGGAGTAGTTCGTGTCGTGGATGAGGAACGCTCCACCGTCACTGAACTCCAACGCCACAGAGACGACGTTGTGCGGACACCACGAAATGAAGAAGAACGATACCATAAGCGCCAACACTACCGTATTTCGGCGAGTCTGTCGAAGTAGAATACAACGTTGTCGACACTGAAATAGACAGTAAATGACTCCTGTTCTTGTTCATTTTTAACTTTTTGTCTTTTCTGTGCTGCACCATGGATTCATAATGGCAATGGCATTTCAATCGAAGCGCATCATAGGACATTACTAACCAAGGGGGGGGGGCGAAGGTTTCGGTACACCCCCCCCCTTCTCTTTCAGCATGAACTGCTTCGAAATCCGCGGCACAGCAAATATTTTAATGCACTCCCGATCACGTTACTTAAATAGTGCACTTTAGCGCAAAGGTAGATTATTCCGCGCACCCGTCATATTCTCTCAAAGCTACCCTTGAACAAAATAATTTTTTTAATTGAAACTTCGATGATGAAAACAAAGTTGCGAGGTGAGTACAAGTAGTTTTCAGAATGTTTCAGGTATTATTTTCAATAGTGATTCCATTGGACTTTGAAATTTTCATTCGAAATTTTCTTCACAGAACGACCAATGTTACTTATATCGTCTAGTTCGCTGCAGACGGAGTGGCGTGATTGGTTTGGCCTGGTGACGTGGCACCCTCATACCTGAAACGCATCTTCATCCGCAGCGAACTAGAGAATGTGTACTTTTTCCAATTCAAACGATTCATGCAGTGGAAGAGGATCTTGACCTCAACATGCGCCTTAATTTTTAAAACACGAGAGATTTTTAGTAGGGCAGGGTATATGCAAAGCAATATTTCGAGTCAAACGCACGATAGGCGGAAATGGGTGGCGGGCTTAGCACTCGCGCGGCGCAGGGTTCAAATCCCGGGTCGACTCCCGCCCAGGCCAACCAAGCCTTCTACGGGGACGGTAAATTGGTACCAGATTCGTCTGGGAGGATAAAACACTGACTTGTACATCGGCTGGCCACCGCAAGTCATTGTATAGGCCGCATTCAATAAGCCACTACGATTCTGAATGGAAGTAGAATGCGTGCCGCATCCCACAAAGGGATTGATCAACGGCGAAGAATTTATCCTTTTATTCTTGTCGAACGCATGCCATCCTATACTACTGGAAACAAGTCCGTGGGAAGCAAAGTAGTTTTCTAGGACGAATCATGACTGGAACATAGGACTATGTACTTTGTTCGCCCCCGTTCGCTTTACCTAGCAATCTCTCTCGGGTAATCATTCCACTCGCAAGCAGGTGATGGGAAGATGTCACGCCTGAACGGTGCTTGCTTATAAGAGCCGACGCGTTTCCAGCTTCCAGAGGTGGTGCGAGCACCCATTCCATTCTTTATCCTGTGCTAATAAACCTCGCCAACCCACCCATCAATCCCCGCTCGATAGGGACTGAACAATTCTCATGGACCATGTACCCTTATTCAATTACGTAAATGGCCTTCAGACAGGCAATTCCTCATGAACCATTGTCCTGATTCAAGTAGGTAAGCCTTCAGATAGGCAATATCCGGAAATCCGCTTAATGAACGAGCACGACCTGCATGCCCTTAGTCATAATGTATTGCATCCATCAATCGACCGCAATAAATTAATGAATCGGTTCTCCTTTTGAAGTAATTCACCAGAAGCAGGGACACGTGTGCCCAGCATACCGTATTTTATCGCCAAATAGCTTTCCCGAAATCAATTCGCAATTTAGGATTTTGGGTGGGTGGCACACAGCGCAAAAAGGGACGCTTCTATTAAAAGCCTCCGGTGTAGTGAATACGGTAGGTTCATTTGTCATCTGTTCTTCACTCAGAGCACTTTCTTGATGGCACATTCCAAGGTAATCATATGAAGGCTTACCACTCTGCCTCTATTATTGTGCGATCAGCCCTTTCTAAGATTGTAAAAATGAAAGAGACGCCAACGAGGAAAACATAACCGTATAATGAAAGACGACGCCAACGAGCGATAACACTTAACCTTTAGCCACCAGTCCGCCCATAAAGGATGAGCTGTGTAACGTACTTATGAATTAACACTTTTGAACTTTGTTGCCATTCTCATTGTTTTGGTTTCGGTCGATCAGTATCCAGGTTTTGAAGGTAGTGGGCACAATTGCTGGAGGCGGGCAGTTGTTACCAGCGCCATTGGTTGGAGGATTCGTGAGAGAGTTTGGCAACACCCCACTTAGCCCTTCAGATAGCCACGTTGGCGACACAGCTCCCAGCCCCTTTCCCCGCCCCAGTAGTCGTGCCGCTGCTCTTTTACGTCAAACGGCAAAGTGTATGGAGTGAGCTCAAAAGTTTGACCTTACCTGCTCAAGTATGTCCACATTGGCGTCCATTTTTCGCTTCACTGTCGTCAGCATGGGCATCGACGCCGTCAAAATTAATGACCGTTCGTTCATTTTTCTGGAAAAAATTGTATTGAACATAGGGAGACTTGAACAAAAGGAGGAATGTCTTGCGGCTATATCAAGGGGTGGGGTGAAATTGCAGGTGTTCCTACAGAATTTGTATTTCCCTCATTCTTACCAGGAAGGCTCATATTTCAACGGCTCGTGATGTGTAGTAAGATTGGGCATTCTGACAAACGACAAGCAAACGGCCATCACTGGACCTCTTGGAACTGGATGCAATCGATAAACAATTGAGAACCCGTCAAGATCCTTCCCCTATCTTCACAAACAGTTCCAAAATACAGTCAACGACTTTTCGTAGCGTGAACTATGAGGGGAAAGGAAAGTGGCTGGAACAATCTATGGGTTAAGAGAATGTAAACAATATGTCGAGCAGAAACACAGACACTTGGGGATGGCAAAAATCTAATTGCGTGAGTGGCTCGCCAGACAATCCGTAATAGGTGCTTCATAGGAACAGTGAGAGAGGAACCGTTCGAAAGAGTTCGACTCCTATCCTGATGAGTCCACATCCTCTTAACATTAGGATTAGAAGAAAAGGGGATTGGGAATATGAATTTTGCTCCAGAGGTCCACGGCGACACACGCTTGAGTGATGGTTTTCGTTTATTTAAAGTTTCCTAGTTTGAACCTGGTCCTCATATCGTAATAGTGGGGATCATCGGAACGTCACTTGCTGGCGCTACTCAAAGGCAGGTTACAGGGAATATCAAAACATTATCAAACCACAATTGTTTCGGCGTGAGATCTCCACGTGTTTCCCGTTGAGGGAGGCGTATGATAACCGCAGAAGTTTGAAATTTTTTGGAGAAGGTTCCTAAGTCACTGGGTTGATTTTCACTATAGAGAGAGCTATGGAGTTTCAGTGGAATTCTCACCCAGCCTACGTAGCATGAGTGATCCTGGAAGCGCTAGCTTCTCCCTCCCCAGACTTATTCATCCCTGTGGATGGTCATCAAGTTCCGCAGACCGGAGAACTTTTACCGTATGAGCCGTCTTGGGGAAAAAAGCCTGCTCTACCAGACTTCCAAATTTACTTTTGTCCTCTCGAACAGCCCTAAAAGGGAAATTATCACCAGTATCCGTTCCACAAGCAACCTTCGTAGACGGACTGACGGATTTCAAGAAGCGCGAAAGTCATCAACCATTTTTCAGGTATATATGTTACTATTAAGAAATATGAAATGTCCGGTGAAATATCATTTATTTGCTGTACTTAAAGGAACGGTCCGCGATCAAGTATCGAAGATGAAAATATGGCATCGGGAGGATAGTGCGGTCCGCGACGAACAACCCTGTACCGTTTTCGCGGCAAAAAAGTGCAGGGGAGGGGCGCTATAAGGCAAAATAGGTCCAGTGGTTCCTCCTTTTTTCCAGTGACTCCGCCTCCCAAGCGCCGCCCTTCAGTGAAAAACCAAGTTGTGGGACGAGAAAAGCATGAAAATCTAAGCGCCTTCGTTATTTGTACGGACGTAGGGTTGTATTGAGTCAGCTGAGCGCGCGGAGTGGTAAAACTGGAAATGTACTGCAAAAGTATTGTATTGAAAAAGTGCACGAAATGTTGGAAGAAAATAGCAAAAATTTTGGGGAACTTGGAATTTGAAAAGGCAAACAGAAACTCAAAAAGAGAAAAAGAAAACACAATGAACACGATGATTCACTGAAAAAATAAGGAATTTAAAGTCAACAGGGCCCACAGCATTCGATGGCGCGAGTTTGGTCGAAGCTTTTCGACCCCCCCTTTGTTTTCTCATGCTCCTCTACATATAGGGCTGACTGTGTTGTGGTTTATACTGTGGTTGTGGTTTATACTCGGCGAAAAAGTTGTCGAGCGAGCGGGGGGTATGTAGTAAGCAGTGCGACGTACATGGTACGGGCGTACATACTAGCTATAACACAGTAAATTCATAAAAATCCACCAAGTGAACCACATAATTCCTAGCCAGAAATACGACCCCCCCCTCCCCACAACGACCAAATTACGACCCCCCCTCCGAAACGTCGCGCGAAATGGAAAAATCAACTATCAAAATTAATTTTTCTCAGCCCAAATACGACCCCCCCCCCTTTTGGCGGCCAAATACGACCCCCCCCCCCCATAGGGAATCCCCAACCAATGCCCGCTGTGCCACTAAAAAGTGGTCAGGCTTCATACGTTGGCGCCACCCTATTTCTGGCAGCGAGGCCAATAACGTGGAACGCTCGTCCATAAGCGCTGTTTCCCCATCGTATGCACGTACAAACTAGGATTGTAATGGGGTCCTATTTAGGTCATTGGGCATGTTTTTTTCGGGGCTTTTTTCCCTCACTATGTGTTTTACGTCCTGAACCTTGCTCCATTTTTCACATGCGAAGCTAGAATTCACTATCTAAGTTGGCAAATGAGCCGCGGGACTTATGTCCCTTAAAACTGACAGGAAGTGTTGGAGCACCAGTTTGCCCCGCAATGTGATCAGCTTCGCCAACGAACTTTTGGCGTCTGTAGATGGGTCTTGTGGGAAGCTCACCTTATTTTGGCCTGAGTTCTCCGCCTGAGATGCTTGAAAATCTTTGAATAACAGTAGAACATAATTACAAATGGCAGGAAGAATTGTGTTATCAGCACGAACACGGTATAGGCTCTGAAAATAAAACTTTCAGCGCTGCGTGCGGTACAGTACTTTGATTATAGCTGATTCCGACCAAATATATGAAGAGTCAAGTGGAATGAAATGTGACCACTCAACTTTCCCCCAGTCAGTGTGTTATATCTTTCGGCGAATCGGTGGTACCAGTTTAGCGCCCACGGGAAGATAAAAGCTCGATAGGGCCTGTCCTGAGCGGGACGCTATCTGGGGTTTTGATGTCCTGAACGCGCATGGTAAGCTGACCGCTTGCCACTACACCACTTTCTCCCTTCATGGATGTAACGACTTACTGAACCCATAGATGCTCGGCATCACTCCCACCTTGCGGCAGGCCAAACAAATGAGCCAGAGTGATGTAAAGCTTGTCCATAGAGTTCCGCTAGGAGCGTCGTACTTTTAGCCACTGAGCCCCCCATCCTGACAAGGCATGACCGCTTTGCTCTTTTGATACATTACTGGAGAAGACTACTGTTTATTCAACTGCTACTCACAATATGATCCCTCTTCCAGGGTTGATGTGAGGATTTCGTAGAAGACAACTTGCCAGTACTTCTCACAGATAATTGTTTGCGTCACTTACCCAGTTTCAGAATAATAAACACATTCCCATAAAGAAAATCACGCCGTCGACAAGCAATAACAGGGTTTCTCCCTGTTTTTATAATGAATATTCCTATTGCCTCCCCACCGCATCAAAACTCATGGGCCCCATTGATTGCTAGGCACCTTTCCCTTGTTTCAGTATGGAAGGGTGTAAAATACGGAGGGACTATTCCGAGGAGCCTTTAAGGCACCCTGCGCAACCAGATGTATTCCAAATCAAACCCTAGAGTCTCACAGATGGCCAATAGGGGCTTGAGCGTTAGCTGATTTGGGACCTGCAAATGTGAGGGCTTTCCATTATATTTATGAGAAAAAAAAATTCTTGAAATGAACAAAGACTTACTGTCGTAGCCTGGCATTGGGCCAAGCCTCGGTGCAGAACTTTCCACACAGACCTTCATGCTCTTCTAGGGTCATGAACCAGGAGTATGGCAGTGTAATGAGCGCAGCTACGACCCACAAGCAGACCATGGCGAATCGTGCTTGCTGAATGGTTTTGTTAAAGAATTCAAAAAGAACCATTAATTTATCAGGAAGAGGTTATCTCACATTTCGTGTCATTCTCCTCTGATGTGGAGTGACAACCATACAATATCGGTCAATGGCTATCGCTGACAGGCTGAACGTGGCACAAACACGCTGGCTCCCTTAATTATACCAGATTAAAGACAGCTCCCGCGATAAAAGTGTCATGGATGGTTGCTCTTCAATTATGAATCAGTAGCTGATAAGTAATTCCCAAAGAAGAAAAAAAAAAACAAGAACAGTCCTCGAGAACACCATAAACAAAATCGCTCTCTAACAGTCACATCGCCCTGCGGTCTCTGTGCAACGCTGACTCACAAATCCCTTTATTCTTATCTTCCCAAGTGGGTGGATATCATCCAGTGCAAAAGAAAAGAAGTAAGAAAAGCGGGTTTACAATAGGGCGTGTCATCGTTTTTAGTGTAGTGTAGTGCATCGAGCTTTTGCACCACGAAAACTTGGGTCGCTCGTGATTTTTACGCCTTTTACCTTGCGAGATGGGTTGGAGTTGACTGTATGTGCTCCCAATGAATAAAATGTAATAAAGGAGAGCAGAATTATTTGTGGGCACGAGCGCGGTCAGCAAAAAGGACATGCAATTCCGATCAATGCCCGCCGTCCCAACAAAGAACAACTGAGCGGTTATCCGTCAGAGGGCATCTAGCAAATGGGCGGTCCAGCTGGGCGGGCATTAGAACTAGAACTTTCAGCGGCTGTAGATCGCTCCTCTCGCTATGGAGTGAAATAGAGTGGGATATTCTCTAGCTTGGGGGCTGTACTACTTGGACAAGGAAGGACGACCATTTACTACTTGAGCGCAGGGGCTGTCTTTGAGTGTTGAAAAATGAAACTGAACTCCCGAGTCAATTTGACCGTATTATTATATATAACAGAAAGTGGAAATTTCAGTACCCAAGGCAATTTTAAATCGCTGCAAAAATCCTCTTATCAGTTAAGTCAGTCGGGGCGCATCGCAGCGGGGGGGGGGGCGTGAGCCCCTTTCCCACCCCTCATTAAACGAAAGAAGTTGCAGCGATCGACGGGCGGCCGGCCAACTATTTTTCACCTAAGCAGGTCATTCCCCTTGATAGCAAAATTTGGAAACATATTGGGGTAGGTAGCGAAAAGTCGGACCGAACGAGAAATTCGGGGAGAGATGGTACTTTGCAGAAGTCTCCCTAAACGATGTGATGTGCCCTGTTTCTGACAAAACACGAGAATCTCTTGCACACAGGACTAAGCTCACCATTCTAGGAGCCCTTTCCCAACGTTCACGGCAAGAGCGGAAATTTTCGCCCCCTTACTTCGTTACCTAGCGCTTTTCATTTATAAATTCTAATGCAACATAACGGAAAATTTTCAAAGAAATAGTATTTGAAAGAATGGAAAGAAACTAGAACTATAACATCTCGTAGTTTTCAACGACTTCTTGGGATTTTCGTTTTTCCGAAGGACCAGCATGCCCCACATTACTGGCGAACGCCTTCTTAGGCTATGGGTTACAGCGTTCAGACCCAAACGGGCTTGTTTTTTGTGCTTTTATTCCTTTTTACATTTTTTTGTTGAATCGTGAAATTTATGAGTCCTGAAGTTCATGCACAATTTTGTTCGCTGCGCATGACGAATACCAGTAAGGGGGGTGAGGTTCGAAGCCAGCCTGCTCTTTTTCGTTCTTTCGGCGAGCAAGAGGACTGTATCATATTGTTTCGCATCGGGCGCAGGGTACAGCATCGTTGTGTAAAATACATGGAGGGTTGTGCTTTCCGTTGTGGAGGAGGTCGTATTTGGTCGTTGGGAGAGAGGTGGGGGTTGTATGTGCGTTTGCGAGAAAGTTGCTGTTTTGGAAGAAAATTTTCCCGGTTGTTGAGTTTTTGCATAATTTTTCCCGTTACACATTGGCTATATACACCTCCCCCCGCCCCGCCCAACGGACAGCAAAATGTTGGGAGAAGAACTAGAAAATGTGGGGAAATTGGTAGGTAGGTGTTGAGGAATGGGGAGGGGGAATCGTACTTACACTACCATTTCCATCACGATGCTGTACCCTGATCGGGCGTTCTCCATTTTTCCACCGAATTTCGTCGCTAACCCGCTCCAACAACTGGAGGAAAACGGATGGGCGCCGTGCTGAATCCCAGCGTCACTCACACGCCCCATCATCCGCAGCGAACAAGACTGTAGAAAAAAAAATCTACGTAGTACTCTCGCGTACCTGAATCCATGGAAGCGAATGGCACATATGTTCACCAAAATACCAATTCTTATAAATACTCGTGATTGGAGTGAGAGGTAAGGAGAATATACAGACGATCAGATCGGCAAGTGCCAAATTCAGAATGAACATATTCTGAAATAAAAATCATCAACTCGCTCGGAAAGCGTGAGGTGCGGGTTGAAGTCCCGCGTGGGGTCAAGACTTTACCCTACGACCCAGATTCTTATGATTTGATTCAAAAAATGTCCTTGTAACGTCATCGACTCACTTGTACTGTTTGTAGTTTTCGATTGCCAAATGTGAATATTATCACGCCAACGTTACCGGTAATACCGAGCACAAATTCAATGCTGAAAAAAGCTCGTTGATTAGACTGGCCCGTAGGCGAAGAATCCTAAGAAAATAATCTGGGATAAATGCTTTGAAGTCAAAAATCACCTGTACAAAACAGAGAATCCTATGATGATTGGGGTTTCCAGACTGGGATCCCGTACTTTTTCCGTAAACACGGAACACTCCTCCATCCTGAAAGGTATCGATTTCAGGAAGTAAGAATTCCAGTAAAAGAACAAGAGACGGGAACGAACGCTACAGGTTATATTATGAGCATCGCACGAACAATGAACGATTAGTAAAAAACAGCATGAACACTGAAAAGGAGATGGAGACCAGCCTCCAAGCCTGGAGATCGAATTTCGCTTTTCTTTTCCCGGTTGGCTCTACAAAATTCGTTTGGGATAATAAATACACGAAATTGTTCAGTGGCGAACTCCCGCAGGCTTGCGTTTGGAATGCCTCAACGATTCTGGATGGAAATGCGTGCCGCATCAAAAAAAGGAGACTGATCAACGACTAAAGCTCAATGCTTTATCCTAACAAGCACGACTTTAATTATTTATGAGGCGTCCAAAACTCGCGCTATATCAAGGCAGGAATGTAGAGCTAGACGATAACACATAAAAAGATGGGTCATTGCGCAATCCTTTTTGCCTGTATGTACGTTTTCTTTTGGCGAAAAAAACGTGACAATGTGGTCAGCCTCATCTCACAGGTTGTTATGTGGGAGTTTCGCGATTAACGCGGAGCATGTCCCACGGTGGGGGAATCCCCAGGGAGGGTCGTATTTGGTCGCTGGAGGGAGTAGGGTCGGGAGCATTGCAGTGGAGGAAAGGGGGAGGAGGGTCGTATTTCGTCGGGGAGGGAGACCTTTGAGAGGAATTTTGCGGTCTCTCCGGTGCTACATACCTCATCCTTCCTCCTCCCCCGCTCTAAGGCAAAATTTTTGGGAGAAATTGGAAAATTTTGGAGCAGTTTAAAAGTGGTGGGAAGCTTGGAAAGGTTGATAACAGAGGTAAGGCACAGACAGTAGGGAGTAGGTGGGGGTCGTATAGCAAAGGACCGAATTGAGGAAAGTCGTGTTTTCCGATAATTTTTCCCAAGCAGCGAATTGAGGAAAGTCCTGTTTTCCGATAATTTTTCCCAGCAGCAGGATGTGCCCTGATTAGCGCTTGTAGATAAGGGCATCCGGTGTTCGGAACTCTGGCGACGATCCAGGATCGGAGAGTCTGCTGCTCTCAGCCAAGTTACCTCATCGAACCCACTCTAATGGGCACTATGATGACAATCATCTAGATGACATGGAAGAACGCTTCTCGTCTTTCAACACTGAGCGTTAGAAAATGTTCCTACCATCTGGATCGCCAAATAGAAAGTGTTACAGGTACCTTCGAGAGAATGGACGGCTAGTGGCACGGAATATGATACCTCCAAAACAAAAACCTTCTTGGGGTTTCCGACAACAATCCTTTTTCGCTTGTAGGCCGTGTCGTCTGAGCGAGCCGACTCGTTACTGAGTAAATGTTTGCATTTACATCTACTGCAGACGAGTAAAGTATGTATATTAATGAGCATCACTTCAAAGCATACCGTAATTCAATTCTAGCACAAACCATAAGTCTAGGAAGTTACGAGAAGACTGAGAGGTGAAATCCATTCAATACACGTACTCAGACGCTCACGCGACATTTCCGAAAAGAAATCGAATTGAACAGCTTTATAAACAAAAACAAAAACATGAGTAGAGGCAACCAAATGGAAAACGCATAGATATGGAAATATGAAAACGTCAAGAGTATTAGTGAGAACGTTCTATGAAGCCTTTCAAAGCCCTTCAACAAAAACATCACTTCAATAGGCAGGCTTCACGATTTGAGTGACATAAAAATGTAGGGAACCGGAAACTCCACTGAGAGTTTTTCGTGCTGAGAGTTCTCAGTGCTTGGCATATGAAGTATTTAGAAATTCAACGATATTTGGATATACATACCTGCTCCCCTAATTTGTGTGGTCAATCGACGGTTTGCGAACAGATTTTTTCGCGCCTCGCAAACCGTCGGTTTTGCGCATTAAAGTTCCGTAGATCGTGTCCAAAATTTGTCTGGCAATCACACTGATGGAGTAGCTGAACGCAGAACGAATCCAATGGTCTATGAACCCTTCAATTTTGTTAGTTTTGTTCGGCGCTTATTTCTGGACCAGATTTCACTGTTGGAGTCTTCCAGTTACCGTAGGTGTGACTGGGATACATCAGCGTTGTAAACCCTCCAGTCCTGAACAGCGAATTGTTTCCAAGTTGAGCATCTAAAAGTTAGAGATACAACATAGTTTGGGGAGGGCTCGTTTCCGTGAATCAGTTTGATACAGGTTTTGGATCAGATTTCGGTGAAAATTCCAGCGCTGGAAATTGGACGTTTTCCCTAAAGAGCAGATGCAAGAAAATACATTTCCACCTAATGGCAACCATGTGCACGGCCTCAGATCAACCTCTTTGGGTTTTCCGTCAAAAACAGTATCAAATTCGTCATAAGAGCACTTCTAAACACAGCAAAAAGCATGGTTTATTAAACCTAAATGACTCATGATTTTCTCCAAAAATTTGAAACGGTAAATTCTTGTCATCATATTGTAAGTGGCGGCGAAGGTCGCCTAAAAGGTTGTGGAATGTTGGTTCCAGTGCTCGAATAAAATACTCAGGCATAAGTTCCAATCGTAAGGTAGCAATTCTTCCGCAAACAAGCCCTAAACTTCGGTATTTTACCAGTCTGATACAAAAATTACATGTGCCAATATTTTGAATTAGTCGCATCATCCTAGCACGCCACTACGAAAGCAGGCAAGGAGAGCTCACTCAGTACACGTTGTTGTAGTTCCACATAAATCAAAAAATTAACTGGCTCCAGGACACAGTTCTCTGTTTTGCTACGATGCAACAAATCCTGTACAACGCCACGTTTCTGTAAATAGTGAGAATTTTGACACGAATTTCAAGCGATCCTGTTTGAACATATATGACGGACCCTGTAAGAAAATGCTAATCTCAACGATGTAAAAAATCATTACTATCGACAAAATAACTTCTTCATCAAAATTATTGTTCCTTGTGGGCTGGGCGGGCGACTAGTCTCTATTCATTTCTGCGCTTTAGCGTAGAATTGCAGATTCATGCAAAGACAGTTCCATATCGTTTGACACCAGCTCGTCGAGCTGTTCTCAATAGTGTTTTTGAAAATCATGGAAATATCTCAGTTTGAGCAATGCCGATCCTACCGAAGTACTAAGGGGACCAATGTAACGAGCGCTCGCCTTGCCACTAATCTCAACCAGCGGGGATAAGGTTCCACTACGGGCGCTTGACATTAAGGCGCTGCTGGTAATCAACTGATACATGCTACATTCTTTCGAAAAGTATTCGAAAATCTTGGTGTTCACCGAATGGGCCAGCCACTTCCAAGCTGACTTTCAAACTCATGCGCTGGTACGATTCAATGAGATGCTTTGTCATTTTTCAATGGCTACTTGTTACTTTCAAGATTGAGGAAAAGTAACACTTGTGGACTGATTGATCTGACCGTGCTTTAAACAAATATTTATTCTGTGAACTGGATTTCTACAGAGATGCCAGCGCTTTCACTGTGTTTCTGCTAACAGCTGAAAATTTCAATTTTCAAGAGAATCCGATTTTCCGCGAAGGAACATCAAGAAAACTATATCATACGCGGTATTAAGGGAATTAGCTATCGTGCACATGAAGGCTATTGAAACGAACCTCCACATAGTATTTTAAGTCTTGTGGCCATCTACTCTAAGCGCCAAGGGCCTATCGCCTCCTGATAGCTGGAATCAAAAATACAAAAACAAATCATTTCCACAAGTCTCAGCACTCAGCGATTAGGTTGAAGAAATTGCTTTCCTAGCACGCGAGTGCAATTCCAGTATCGAAGTGAGAAGCATCGTTCGAAGAAAGCTGTATTTTCCTCGAGCGAACTTTATTGCGAAATTGTACAATCACTATGCGGCTAATTCAAAGTGCCCTGTATGGATGAACCTCAACCCCCTGGTGATAAAGGGCAAGCGGCGCGCTCTTTAATGTCGCCTTAAGGTACTTCGTAGGATCGCTGTCAAACGAGATATTCCATGATTCAAAACACATTGAAAACAGATCGACTGAGCTGGTTTCAAGATATGGAACCTTCTGCATGAATTGGCAATTCTACCGTAAAGCCAGAATGTTAATGAGAGACTAGTCGCCCCGAGCCCAGCCCACGAAAGGAATAAATTGATGAAAGAAGTTTATTTTGTCGATAGTAAATGATTTTTACCATCGTTGGATTAGCATTTTTGCTTTACCAAGGGTCGGTCCATATAGGTTTCTGACAGGATCGCCTTGGAATTCGGATCAATTCTGCATATTTTTTACAGAAGAAACGTGGCGTTGTACCAGGTGTTGCATCGTACAACGAGAAACGTGTCCTGAGGCAAGTATTTTTGATTATGATACTACAACAGTGTAACTGAAGTGAGCTTCTCCCTTTGCGCTCGTTTCGTAGTTGGCCTGCTAGATATGGATAATTTCAAATATGGGCAAAGCATGTATTTTTTGTATCAGACTGGGAAATACCGAAGTTTAGGCCTTGTGCGGAAGAAATTGCTAGCCTACGAGGAACATGCTTGAGTTTTCTATTCACAGACACTGAACCAAATCCAGCAACCTTTTAGCGACTTCGCGGCACTGACAAATAAGATTGACAAGAAGTACAACCGTTCAATATTTTGGAGAAAAATCATGAGATTCCAGTATTAACCTATCGCTTTTGAACTGTGTGTTGAAGTGGCTCTATGACAATTTGAATACTTTTCTTGACGAAAAACGCCAAAGAGGTGTGATCTGTAAGGGTGCCAGTTGCCATAGGTGGAAAAATGTTTTCTTGCATGCTCTAGGGAAAACGTCAATTTACGCGCTGAATTTCACCGAAATCTTATCAAAACCTGTATCAAATGATCCGGAAATCGAGCCCTCCCAAATATGTTGGTATCGTCGTAACTTTTAGATGCCTCAACTTGAAATTTCGCTGTAGGAACTGGATGGGTTTACGAAACGCTGTCGTAATCCCAGGTCACACTCTAACGGTAACTGGAAGACTCAACAGTGGAAATCGTCGAGAAAATAAGGCGAACAAACTAGAAC